GTACAAATTAGGCACATTTTAGGTATACCTCAGTCAGAGGTATAAAAAAGGCACATTTTAGGCATGCCTTAATTGTGCCTAAAATGTGCCTAAAATGTACCTATATTGAACAGGTTTTAACCCCTCCTATTCTGTCCTCTTTTTCTTCCCTACCCAAAATGTACCTAAGGCATGCCTTAGATATACCTAAGGCATGCCTTAGGTACCCCAAAAAATGTACCTCAAATGTACCTTTTTTTCCCCTGGGAAGCCTCCAATTACTTTGTTAGAACCAAAATTGAAGATTTATTGATATTTTAAAGGATTTTAGGGAGGTTTACACATGACATATCGTCATAAAAAAATACATCTCAAAACATTGGGAATATCTAATATTCATTTGCTGAAAAAAGTAAACCAATAAAGTACTACTTCCACTATTTGTACATATCCAATTGTGAAGAAACTTTTTTTCTTGCGTTTATGTTTTTTTTAATTAACACTCTAATCCATCCCGATGGAGAATAAATTCCGGATTCAATTTCAGTGTCCAGTTTCAAATTTATAGTCATGACTTACATTTCTGTTTGGGTAAACCATCCATGTTTTTCGATTGTAATGAATTAATAGCTCCTATGTTGCTGTTAAATGTTTCAACTTTCATCCCATATTAATTAGCAACTAGTCCCCACTGGATGTGGGATCACTGATTTAATTGCTTGACAGTTCATACATCAGTGAGCAAGTCACCAAGCAATGTGCCGCTAAATCGGCCGGCCGGGCCATTCACAACTTACACACCTATGCTGCTAATTGGTCTGGCTTGTAATTTAAGTGGCTGGCGTGTGACTTCAGACCTCTCAGTGACCTAGGTCAGTGTGAATCCATGTAGCTATTGTTTATTCACTAAGATTGACCAAATTTTGTTTCTTTTCATGAGACCGATTGAAATTCGTGATAGATATGGATTTCATGCCGTGAGAATTTTTTCAGAAACAGTTTTCGTGAGTCTCACGCCAAAATTGTTAGATATGGCATGTATGGGAATAATGCACGGCCAGAACGGGGTTCGAACCCAGACCCTCCACATTCTAGACGGACACTCTACCAATTGAGCTACCTGGTCAGTGACGATCGACCCAGTCTGGTTTCGCTACACCTTATAGGCCTAATGATAAACCATTGAAAACATAATAGTACAACAATTATTTTTTTTACAGTCATGTACACAAATCGATGACCTGGAAACATGCATCGCTATTTTGGAGCAGAATAACTGGGAATTGGTGGTAAGTTTTCTGTGATCACCAGTGATCAGTATGGAACCCTATGACAGAAATATGTATTCTGTCAGTATCAATGACAGCATTTTTGTTTGACCCTCAAAATTTAGCAATTTCAGAAGTCAAATAGAATTTTCCCTATATACAAACACACAGACCTGTCTTTTAGAACAAAAGAGTCAAAGCTCATTTAGGGGAGCCACATCTTCGCTAGCCAAGGGCTACAATCTGGTCTACCTACTCTTAAAGCTAGCGAGTAGAATCTGATGCAATATGACTGACACATTTATGCTCGGTTTTTCACTTGCACATTGTTGAAGCAAATTGACAGTGGGCAATGATTGTTTGTGATTTACAGAAGTCCATACAAAGCGTTATGCCACAAACAGACTGTGAGATGTCGTCTGCTGGAGGTGAACCTCCGCCCTACACCTTTTCCAACCACATAGACCAAACAGCCGTGTCCCAAGATTTCCCTTCGGAGTTTCTCCCCAGTCATAACTCATACTCCCCACTCATGGATCCTGGATCTGCCTCTGGTCCTTTCCCTGGGCCAAGCTCCAGTTACAGTTCTGGACGACTAATCAACTTTACTGTAGAGTACCGCGGACGTAACATCACTGTCAACGTGTTTGATACAGAGACTGTTGGTAAGTTATATAAAGGAAAAAGTTACACATTACCACACTTATACAGTTGTTGCCAATCAACCAACCTTCTCATCGTAAACACAAAGAGATGACCTAACATTTCATCTGTTTTACAGTGATGAGATAGTTATTCAAATGACAGCAACTGAATACAGGGTGATAATCTTTTTATCATTACAATATCTTCAGTCTACCTATGACAGGTTGCAAAATGATATATATGGCATTGTCTGGCTGGAAGGCTGGACATTAGCAGTATTTACCAAGTTATCCATCTATCCTTTATCACTGAATATTATACAAAAGGTCTCTTCACGTAGTTTAACTTAGTTTATTCTGAACGCAGGCATATATTTGCCTCTATATTCAGATCATAGTCCGTATATAAGAACAGTTGTCTATAGATTCTACTTAGCAATTTTGATATCAGATGTAAATATAATGAAAGTAATCCAAGATAAAACAGACATAATACCAAGTCTTATTAATTTAGCTTCCACTGAACTGGTTGTCCCAGTATCCAGTCAGTGTTATTAACTTAGCTTCCACTGAACTGGTTGTCCTAGTATCCAATCAGTTTTATTAATTTAGCTCCCACTGAACTTGTTGTCCCAGTATCCAATCAGTTTTATTAATTTAGCTTCCACTGAACTGGTTGTCCCAGTATCCAGTCAGTTTCAGTCTGTATCCTTTGTAGGAGAAATACAAAGAATAAAATTATAAATGGTGAAGCATCAACATTTGGATTCCGTAGTGTAATGACCAAATAACAGGTTTATACAGAATAATAATGTGTACATTTTTAGTCCAAAACTTGTCAGTACATGTTTATCAGAATCCGATACTGTTAAGCAATTTACTGGTAAACCAGCATTTCTATAGTCTGAACACTTCTGTGCTGGCATTGAAGGTGGTTTAATTATTGAGTTCCTCTTCTATAACCAGGGCCATACTTAAAAAAAATGTTTGCAATTTCCTTACTCACCTTTTTTTTTTATTGGGTTAGAAGGGATTTTTTTTATCTGAAGAAATCTCATATTTCTATATAAAAACCCAAAGTTTCAATGATTTTTCAGCCATAAAACAATTAACCTAAAATTCCAAAATGACTTTGAGTATATGTCATTTTTAATGAGTCAGTCGAGAAACTGCTAACAAACACTTGTTTAAAGATGGCCCAGCATATTAGACAAAGACAAAAGTCCCTTGCTATGTAAATATCATTTGAGTTTGTACAAACCAAACTCCTGCTGAAGAAGTCACCAAAACATCACTAGTGTTATAGTGAACTGTATTGTGCTGTAATCTGACAGTATATACATATACAGTACCCTCTGATATTATATATTGTGTCCTGTAGTACCCTCTGATATTATATATTGTGTTTTGTAGTACCCTCTGATATTATATATTGTGTCCTGTAGTACCCTCTGATATTATATATTGTGTCCTGTAGTACCCTCTGATATTATATATTGAGTCCTGTAATACCCTCTGATATTATATATTGTGTCCTGTAGTACCCTCTGATATTATATATTGTTTTCTGTAGTACCCTCTGATATTTTATATTGTATCCTGTAGTACCCTCTGATATTATATATTGTGTCCTGTAGTACCCTCTGATCTTATATATTGTGTTCTGATATTATATATTGTGTTCTGTAGTGCCCTCTGATATTATATATTGTGTCCTGAAGTACCCTCTGATATTATATATTGTGTTCTGATATTATATATTGTGTTCTGTAGTGCCTTCTGATATTATATATTGTGTCCTGTAGTACCGTCTGATATTATATATTGTGTCCTGTAGTACCGTCTGATATTATATATTGTGTCCTGTAGTCCCCTCTGATATTATATATTGTGTCCTGAAGTACCCTCTGATATTATATATTGTGTTCTGATATTATATATTGTGTTCTGTAGTGCCTTCTGATATTATATATTGTGTCCTGTAGTACCCTCTGATCTTATATATTGTGTTCTGATATTATATATTGTGTTCTGTAGTGCCCTCTGATATTATATATTGTGTTTTGTAGTTCCCTGTGATCATATATATTGTGTTCTTTAGTACCCTCTGATATTATATATTGTGTTCTGATATTATATATTGTGTTCTGTAGTGCCTTCTGATATTATATATTGTGTCCTGTAGTACCGTCTGATATTATATATTGTGTCCTGTAGTCCCCTCTGATATTATATATTGTGTCCTGAAGTCCCCTCTGATATTATATATTGTGTTCTGTAGTGCCTTCTGATATTATATATTGTGTCCTGTAGTACCCTCTGATCTTATATATTGTGTTCTGATATTATATATTGTGTTCTGTAGTACCCTCTGATATTATATATTGTGTTTTGTAGTACCTTCTGATAATATATATTGTGTTCTGTAGTACCCTCTGATATTATATATTGTGTTTTGTAGTACCTTCTGTTATTATATATTGTGTCCTGTAGTACCGTCTGATATTATATATTGTGTCCTGTAGTACCCTCTGATATTATATATTGAGTCCTGTAATACCCTCTGATATTATATATTGTGTCCTGTAGTACCCTCTGATATTGTATATTGTGTTCTGTTGCAGGTAAGATCAAAGAGGTGTTGTTCTCGGAGCTAGGGATCCCGGTACAGAAACAGGACCTGAGGGGCTGGTCCACTAAGAAGGTTGATGACAAGGTCAGTATTTTATAAGTCGGAGTCCAATTCCAGTGTCATATGCACAGATAGAGAAAGATTAACATTAATTTGCGAAATTTGATAAACTGACCAGAGAGGAGAAACTTTAATTAAAAAACAAAACATTTAAAACATGATGGATTATTTTGATTTTGTTTTACAGAAAGTATTACGTGACCTTCAACTGCCACGGGAGAATACATTATACCTGTTGACCCCCGACCTTAACAGACCGTTAGTGACATCCAGGGTCACACCAGAAACTGACAGGTACAACATTGTCTCCTGATCGTGAGCTTTTGGACTGTGTTTGTTGAAGTTGAACTCATTTCTTTGAGGTTCAGTTATTTTGATAAACGATACAAAAAACCTCTATTCAAGTGTATTCCAATTACAACAAAACATGTTTGTATGAAGAGTTCTGTTTTTTTTTGTCGATTATAGTTTTATACATGCAGTTAAAAATACAATTATGTTCAATTTTTTTTGTTCCAGTTCAAAAGAATTTGAAAACTTTATGCGAGATTACGTACTACACATAACTTTTCGGGAAAATGGTAGAGCAAAGGAATACCACCTAAATGTTCAGGGCAGTAAGACAGTGGGCGAGGTAAGTGAAGCAAAGGAATACCACCTAAATGTTCAGGGCAGTAATATAAGACAGTGGGCGAGGTAAGTGAAGCAAAGGAATACCACCTAAATGTTCAGGGCAGTAAGACAGTGGGCGAGGTAAGTGAACTCAATATCGGATGAATATAATTACTTTACGGTATATATTTTTGGATGTCCAGGGTTATTTGATAATTTTTAGGGTTTTATTTTGACTCACAGGGATTTCAAAGACAAGTGTCAGTATTGATGAAGCTATGTCTATTGACACTTATGACCCACATTAAGATTTCCAGGTCATTAGCCCAGAAATCGTTACATAAAAAGTAAACAAAAAAACACAAGTCAGTTGCAAAAGACCTTGCCGACCATATTTTACTGATCAACACCAGGGAAGGGCAAATCTAAAATGTTGTCAATGATTGTTGACTTTGGTTGGAAAAGTGTTGATATTACAAAAATATGGGTATTACTGCTTGTTTACTTCCTCTTTTGATGTTTTTATAGGTGAAGGGAGATATCTACCATCTGACAAATGTGCCCGCTCGGCACCAGGTGTGGATTGGCTGGCCAGATGCGGCTAACAAGGACGACGCTGTAAGTACTACACTGAGTCTGTGTGTCACAATGTGGTAAACCTCGGGTCAAAGTTTCATAATTAATATTAAAATAAATGACCTTTGTACAACTTCACCAATACATCTTTAAATTTGTTCAAATCAAGCCTAACAGTGGTTACTACATTAACAATTACAGTGCATGAATCGTATGGAATGAAATTCATTTCATATGTTTTATACTGCAAGGTTATTGAAAACTTGTTGTAAATTGAACTTGGAACAGCATTATGTAATCACTTCAGCAATATGTGTTACACATAATACATTTATATTGTTGACTTTTAATACTTTCATGCTGTATATGTTGTAGAGTTGAGAGTGATTGTTAAATGACTTTTTATTGGTTTTACTATTGCCCTATAGATCACATTAGCAGCCTGTGGACTAAAGTCACCTGTACATGACCTGGAACTCACCAAAGCAAACATAATTGGAAAACCCCAGTATTCAGTACAGGTAAGTCACACCTGTATATCATCAAACTTATATAGTACAGGTAAGTCATACCTGTATATCATCAAACTTATACAGTACAGGTAAGTCACACCTGTATAACAGCAAACTTATACAGCACAAGTAAGTCATACCTGTATATCATCAAACTTATATAGTACAGGTAAGTCATACCTGTATATCATCAAAACTTATATAGTACAGGTAAGTCACACCTGTATATCAGCAAACTTATACAGCACAAGTAAGTCATACCTGTATATCATCAACCTTATATAGTACAGGTAAGTCACACCTGTATATCAGCAAGCTTATACAGTACAGGTAAGTCACACCTGTATATCAGCAAATTTATATAGTACATGTAAGTCATACCTGTATATCGCAAGCTTATACAGTACAGGTAAGTCATACCTGTATATCAGCAAGCTTATACAGTACAGGTAAGTCCCACCTGTATATCAGCAAGCTTATACAGTACATCTAAGTCATACCTGTATATCAGCAAGCTTATACAGTACAGGTAAGTCATACCTGTATATCATCAAACTTATATAGTACAGATAAGTCCCACCTGTATATCAGCAAACGTATACAGGTAAGTCACACCTGTATATCAGCAAGCTTATACAGTACATGTAAGTCATACCTGTATATCATCAAACTTATATAGTACAG